CCCCACCACCCGCCAACCCATGCAGGGCAACGGTTCCAAACTTGGCCAGCCTGCCAGGGGAGGGGGTCGCGCTCAGCCAGCTGACCTGGTCGTGGCAGCATCGCCTCCGCCGGACGGCCGCCCCCAGGATGGACCCGCTGCCCAGCAGGCTGCAAGAGGAAGACATGGCCGCCAGTGAAGGGGGCCCTCCTCGCAAAGTGCCTCGTCCGCCTCCGCACCACGCCATGCCGGACCGCCGTCCCGGCCTGGGTGTCCTGGTCACAGTTGCCCCAAAGGTAGTGGACCTTGATGGCCAGTTGTGGAGCCGCCCTGGTCCCCTCCGCCAGGAGGTCTCCTCCTTGTTCAGTCAGGCTGCGTGTAAGTAGCCCACCCCGCCCGCCTCGCCCAGGTTTTTCCACTCCTGACTGAGCCAGAGGCGCAAGGAGGCCATGTAGGGGGCCACCCCCCCCACCGTCCTATGAGCCACTGACGCACTGACGGAGGAGCATCTGGCCTTAGGAGGAGCTGGGAAGGGAAAAGGGGAAGCGGGGGGGGGGGCTTGGGGACCTTGCCCTCCCTTGGAGCCTCAGCCCTTCCACCCCTTCCTCTCCTGGTTTCGAGGGAGAGAGCCCCGGTCCAGCTCAGCCCCCCCCCCTCCCGGAAGAGTGGGCACCGTGTACAGCCTGCCCAGTGAGGCTGAAGACTGTGCCAGCCCAGAAGGGAGGAGGGGGTCCCTGGCGCCTGCCAAGAACTGGGGAGTCTCAGGAGAAAGAGGCAGCCGGCAGGGCCACCAAGGCAGCAGCCCCCCCCCCCGGAAGGCTCCTGGAGGTGGAGCTTTCCTTCACAGGCTCCTCCCCCTTTCTCACCTGAGGGAAAGGACCGCCAGGTGGACGCCAGCCAAAGCCAAGACCTAGAGGAGGGCGGAGAAGAGGAAAGGCAGGGTGGGCGAGCTGGAGGCCTCTGCCCTGCCCTGCCGCCATGGGGCTCTCTGACCCCTCGGGGCCCCTCCCTCTTCAGCCCCGGGAGTGTTTGCTTCCCACCCACCTGCTGCCAAGGGGGCCCAAGGAGAGAAGGGCCCGGGGCGCCCGCCTGACTGGGGGTGTCCTCCCAAGGCTCCTGGGCCTTCCCAAAGGGTGGCTGGCCACCGGCAGCTGCGGGGAGGAGCCCAGCCATGATCACGCCGTCGCTCTTCGCACCCATGGCACAGAGAAGTGGGGTGGCCAGGGCTGGGGGTCCTCCTGACCTCTGCCCTCAACACAGACCCAGCCTGAGGGGGAACCAAGGTTGACCCCTTCATGGGGGAGGGGGCCCCCCAGGGGAGATTCAAGGGGATTTGGAAAGGCAGCCTGGCCAGGAGGGCAGCAGAGGCCCCAGGAGGAGGGCCGGACCAGAGGGGGGGGCACGCACTCTGTCAAACCCCTTTGCACCGGGGCTGGTGCACCAGGCCCAGCTGTGTGGCTGCCACGAATGCTAGCTGTGTGGGTGTCAGCAACACAGCAGCCCCCCCGGCCCCCCAGGCATCCCTCCAGGGACAGAGCGGGGGAGGGAAGGGGTCCCCACCAGGCTCAGGCCGAGGGAAGGAGCAGAGCCTGCCCGGCCTGGGGACCTGCAAGCCTTCGGTGGGGCAGGAGGGTACCTGGCTGTCCGTCAGGGCTGCTTCTTCACTCCCGCCTCCCACAGCCATCGGCAGCCACTGCTTGGGGGTGGGCTGGGGTCTTCCAAGGCCTGGCGCGCCCCCCCCACTCCTTCCTGGAGTCTCTCTCTCTCTCTCTCAGCTGCAGAAAGCCCAAGGGAAGAAGGGACCCTCCCGTCCAGCCTCGGGCTCCTCAGCTGACCAGCTTGTTTGCACAAGGTGAGGAAAGTGCAGGCCTTGAGCACCATGGGAGGAGGAGGAGGAGGAGATGATGGAAGCTGGCAGCTCCCTCCCTCCCAGTATCTGCATGGGGCGGGGGGGGGGGGGCGGCATTCGGTCACAGGCCCCAGGACAGCACTGGCACCTCTATGCAGGGCCCTGAGGATGGCCAAGCCAGAGGGAAGGGGCTGCGGGGTGGGGCCCTTCCTCAGCCCAAGAAGCCCCCCACCCCCACCCGAGATTGTTCCCATGAGGGAGCAGAGAGGCAGGAGGAGCAGGGGAGAATCTTCAGCATCTGGAGTCAAGCCTCCTCCCACCATGCTTTAAAGGCACGCGTCGCCAAGAGCAGATCGGGCCGAGGCAGCCTCGTGCATGCACAGGGAGACACCCAGAAGGACAGCTTCCCCATCCTTGGGAGAAGAGAAGAGACCTGGTTCAGAGACGCATGCCCCCCCCCACCCCATCCTGCAGCTTCAGGGGATGCTTCCCGTTTGAGAAAGCTAACGGTGCCCCCTCGGCGCCCTTCTTCTCAGGGCTCAGCATCTTGCCGTTTGACGCTGGTGCCAGGAGTGCCGAAGCACCTGCATGCCTTTTTGTCAGCGTCCATCCACCCCATCCCACCCAGCCTCCACCCTCTTCAGGGAGACTGTCTCTGGACATCCCACAGCATCACAGTGGCTTCCTGACTAAAAGGCACGTTGATCTCAGCTGGTCCCCAAAAGGGCTGTGAGGAGCGACGAAGCAGCACCCAGGCGGAGGCAAGTCTCTGCAGGAGGGGGGGAAGTGAACGGCTGGCTGGCTGGCTGGCTGGTGGCAGGGAGGGAAAGCTTTCGGGTGGGAGCAGCTTCTCTGCTCCAGTGCCATCTCCAGGCCTAGGACTACCGGGCAAGGCCCTGCTGCCCATAAAATGGCTGCAGGAACAAGAAGGGGCTGTGCCCTGCGGGAGGAGAGGGTGCCCCCTTCAGAGGGTGCCTCCTGGAGTACTGACTTACTCACATGCCTCCGTAGCCCGACCAGATATGCTTTCTGGATTGGACCCATGCAGGGGAGGAGGGTGGCGGAGGAAGACAACCAGGAAATACATGTTACAGGAGGGCCCGTGGGCATCATCTGTCATCTCTGCTTTGATCTGGATTCCTGTCTTGGGCTGGGGGTTGGACGTCATGGCCTTAAGAGGCAGGGGCCTTCCAAATCCTTCAGTCTAGGAGTCAATGGATTTTGTGCTGCAAATAGTTAAACTTGGGAAGGAAAGGCGGACATTTTAATTGCACCTCTCCTGCGAGTCAGGGCTACAGAATCATGACAACCACAATGACTGCAGAAGATCTATACCATTTTAATGCTGACAGTGAAGAAACTGAAACAGTCTGGAGGCTGCAGCCATCAGAAGGCAGCCGAGACCAGGAAGGGCAGCAATGAAAGAATCAGAAAAGATCATCAAAGATGCTGGAGACTAAGACCACGGCTACCCACATTACAGTGGTGCCCCGCTTGATGATTACCTCATTAGACGAGGAAATCGCTTAACGATAAAGTTTTTGTAATTGCTTTTGCAATCGCAAAATGATGTTTTAATAGGGAAAATCGCTTCACGACAATTGGTTCCCTGCTTCGGGAACTGATTTTTCGCTTAACAACAATCAAAACAGCTGATCGTCAGGCTTTCAAAATGGCTGCCTGCTGAGTAAAATGGCTCCCCGCTGTGTTTTAGGATGGATTCCTCGCTTTATAGGCATCGGAAAATGGCCGCCCCATGGAGGATCTTCGCTGGACGCTGAGGTATTTCACCCATTGGAATGCATTGAAGCAGTTTTTAATGCATTTCAATGGGATTTTTACTTTCGCTTGATGATTTCGTTCTACAGCAACTTTGCTGGAACAGAGTATCCTCGTCAAGCGAGGGACCACTGTATTGTATTTCTCATCGCTATGTATGGGTGTGAAAGCTGGACAATTGAGAAAGCGGGCAGAGAAAATATTGATCTGTTTGAAATGTGGTGCCGGAGGAGAGCTTTGTGGATCCCTCGGGTGACCAGAAAGACCAACAAGGGGGTCCTAGATCAAATTCAGCCTGAACCGTCTCTGGAGGCAACAATATTGAAACAGAGGCTGTCCTACTTTGGTCACCTCACAAGAAGGCAAAGGATTCTCTGGAAAAGACAATAAGGCTGGGAAAGGTGGAAGGCAGCAAAAAGAGAGGAAGAGCAAATACGAGACGGACTGACTCCCTCAAGGCAACCACAGGCTCTTGATTCTACAAGAGCTAAGCAATGCAGTTGAGGACAGGGCATTTCAGAGATCGCCGGAAGCCATTCGGCGGCATAGATTGAACAACAACAACAACAACATCCTGGAAAGCCAGAATAATCAAAGCCTCTCCCAAGCTTCAATCTCTTGTTTCCTGGCCTAAAACCAAGCAGCAGAGTTTCAGGCAAGTTTCTGAGCAAACTTACCCCAGGGCATTTTATTGATATTAAGTTAACTGGGATGCCTGTGGATTTGACTCCGGGCATCCCTGAAGTCTTTTGTTTGACTTAATAATGTAGTTTATCATCAGAGGCTCCTCCAAATGAATCAAGTGGCTTCAAAGTATGAGGATTTTGCCTCTTCCACTGTGACACCATCAGAGCGTCCATTAAGAAGACACCGCTTGCCATCTTTTGTCACCCGAGTACCTTGGGAGTCTGGCCGAATTACCACTGCCAAGGGCTTGTTTGGGAATGGGGGAAAGGCAGCGACTCCTTGGCCAAGCCAGCCTCTTTGAATACCCATTGCCCGAGTGGAAGCCCTCTCCCCCCATTGTCCGAGGCCAGGGAGGCCCTTCCTGTCTCTGAACAACCCTGACGCGTTGGGGGCGGGGGGGGGGCTGAACCGGGCTTTGCTGGGAGGGAGAAACCTGAGCTTGCCAGATGAGAAATACGGAGTGGGGGGCAGGGGCTAGCCAGAGGTGGTGGAGATGATGATGACCAACAGCTCAGTGCTGGCAAGGGCTCACCTCTCGCTGCTTTCCCAACCCCCTCTTGCCCAGATGGCAGCCTCCCAGGGCAAGGAACCTATCTGGAAAACCCTGGCGAGCTCCTGCCCTCCGAGTGCCCTGCCCGCGCCAACCCCGTTATGGCACCATGCAGCAGGGCACACATACCCCCCCCCGTGTCCCTTGGGTCTGGTCTTGGTTCTCAGAAAAGGATTTGGCTGATGGTTGTTTATTTGCAAAGCACAGGCCAATGGGGCTGTGTAGGAAAGGAAAAGCAGCCACAGAATTTCCCCCTTTTGTATCTGGCCACCAAACCCCCCAATACTTGGTGAACAAACAATCCATCTCCCCCAGTCGAAGTCCCTTCTTGGGCAGTGGAAGCACCACCGCCACCACCCCGGGTGATCCTGGCGGGACCGGCCCTGCCAGTGGAGGCACCTGACGGGACCACAGGCACGCCAGGCTGAGGAGGACTGTTCGGGGCCCTGCCTCGGTCCCAAAGTCCCTGCGCTGGCCCTGAAGGTGGCTTCACCTTTTCCCCGTGTGCCACCAGCCGTGGCCGCTGCCACCTGAATGGCTGAGGACTGCCTGCTTCTCCTCGGGACTAAAATGCAAAATAGTTAAGATGGCTGTCAAGGTCTGTTGCCTGCCCAGGGAGTCCGTCAAGGTCAGGAAGCGGAAGATGATGTTCTTCAGGTACTCCAGGTTGGCCCCCTCCCTGTTCTGGTCCCTCACCGTCTTCTGGATCTGGCCCTGGAGGGCAGAGACCTCCTCCTGGTGCTTCTCCCCCTCCTCCAGCAGCTGCTCCTGCAGGCGGCGAATCTCTACCTCCAGCCGGTGCTTCTGCTTCTTCAGGGCCGAGAGCTCCACGTGTTTCCGGGCCAGCTGCTCGGTGTACAGGAGGAAGGTGGGCTCGCTGGGGGCGGTGAGGCGCAGCACCTGGGCCAAGCTCTCCAGGGAGTTCTCCTCGCCTGCTGCTTCCTCCTCGCCCCCGCTGCCCCCACCCGGTGCGCCAGCCGGCAGCGCCTTGGGCCCCTGGAGCCCGCAGGGCAGAGCCAGGGCCCGCAGCTGCTCCAGCTCCTGGTCCTTCTCCGCAAGGACCGCCAGGGCCCGGGCCCGCTGCTTGTGCATCTCCTCTTCCAGCCGGAGGACCTTTTCCTGGTAGTCCAGCTCGCCCCTCTCCAGCGCCTGCCGGTGGAGATGCTGGAGGTGGGCCACTTCTTGCTTCTTGGCCTCCATCTCCTCCTGGTGGCGCTCGGCCAGCTCCTCGCAGGAGAGCCGAAGGGAGATGTACTTCTCCCTCAGCTCTGCCAGCTGCTCCTTGGCATCCCCCACCTCCCTGGCCAGGCTGCCGTCCTTGGCCGACTTGTTCTTAAGGACCACCTGAGCCCTTAGCTTGTACCTTTCAAACTCTTCCTTCAGTTGCTTCAGCTCCTGGCGGTAGTAGGCCGCGGTGGCCTTCTCGCCATCAGCTGCCTCGGGACCCCCTGTTTCACCAAAGTCCCCCTTCTCCTCCACAGCTGCTTCCTCCTCCTCCTCCTCCTCCCCCCCTACGACTGCCTGATGGCTGGGCTTCGTGGCTGCCCTCAAGAGCTTCCTCAGTTTCTCCAGCTTGTCTTTCAAAACATTGACATCCAGGTTGCTCTCCTCAATGGCCACATCCACGGAAGCGGACCGGCCAGAGGCTGCCATGGCCAGCGTCTTGTTCTCGAGGTCCAGCTGGGCGATGCGATCTCTCAGCTTCTGAATGGTCAGCTGGTCTTTCTGCTTTGCCTTTTCGTAGGTGCCCAGGAGTTCAGACATCTCAGAAATCTGGGCCTCCAGACTGGATACTCGTTGCTCTTCCATTTGGACACGCTCCTCCGCCTGAGAAGTCTGGAAAAAGAGAACACACCGGCAATGCTTCTACAAAGCGTAAGGAGATTGACTGAGCCTCTCTGGGGCAGGGGCAGGGGCAGGGAGCCCCGTTGAGCTCAGAAGCCCAGCCAGGTGGACAAACAGGAAACCGACGGGCTCGGGTGGGTCTCTGACCCCATTGGGGCTCCCTCTCCCCTTGAGGGGGTCTGGGTCTCTCTCCCAGCAACAGCCGCCTTTTGCCTGTAAGCAGCCCGGGAAAGGTCGAAGAGAAGCAAGGTGAGCTATGGAGCAAGTCTTGTCAAAGAGCACTGCCTTAGAAAAGCCACCCAGGGCAATGTGCCAGCTCTGAGGGGAACAGCTGGTCTCAGAACAGAGGCTGGCAAGCATTTTGCCTGTTCACATCCCTATCTAAGGGGGGAGGGCAGGCTTGGCGATGCCCCTGAGCTGTTCAAGAGGATGGCAACCAAGTCACATGGACTGGCATCAACATGTCAAGACAGAAGATAAACAGATACAATGGATTGACATGGATTGACCCAAGGTGGGGCCGTCATGAAAGAGACCCATTCCCCACGGGGACTGTCAGGAAAGGAAGCTAAGATAACACAGGTCTCACCAGACTTCTGCAGTTGGCCTGTGATGCCCCTCAAGGGACCCACCTCCAGGGGAAAGCCAACGGGTCTTAAGAAGGGGTGCTACAACGAATGGTCCCTGGGCCTCTACCAGAGCAAACTCGCGTATGTTCCTGGATCTGGAACTCTGGCCTGTTGGTTTTCCAGCTTTTCTGGACTTGAACCCCTAGGAGCCGGCAAGGCTAATGGTCAGGGGTTTTGGCAGCAGGCCTTCAAAACAGCTGGAGGAGAAAAAGGTGAGGGCTCTGGCCCCAGACGGGGTGCTACAACGAATGGTCCCTGGGCCTCTACCAGAGCAAACTCGCGTATGTTCCTGGATCTGGAACTCTGGCCTGTTGGTTTTCCAGCTTTTCTGGACTTGAACCCCTAGGAGCCGGCAAGGCTAATGGTCAGGGGTTTTGGCAGCAGGCCTTCAAAACAGCTGGAGGAGAAAAAGGTGAGGGCTCTGGCCCCAGACGCTTTCTTCATTGGCAAGGGTGTGTGT